TTCCTTATCTCTTTTCTTTTCTTAATTTTCTCCTTAAACCCCAAAAAATTGAGTGGCGCCCTGTTTCTATTTTATCGTAGCTTTTTGTTTTACTAAATTTTACCCATCTATCTTTTTGTTTATTTCTGTATCTTTTCTAATATATCTTATCTTGTTCTATCCTTACTTATTTCGGCCGTTGGGCCCATTTCCGGTTCCAAAAGCTAGTTTCGAACCAACGACTCGCTCTCCACCAACCATCTGGCTGCCTTCCGCAGTGTCTCCATTGGTGACCTTTCTAGCACCATCCAAAAAAGATTTCCGAGGTGACAAAATGTTGTATTCATAGAATTGATCAGGATTTGTTTTAGCATAAAAATTTGATCGCTTGTTGATCTTCCTTTCCGAAATCCTCCCTGTTTTTCTCCTAGATTCTTCTAGTACCTATCACCAAATTATCAGAATTTAAAATCTCTAAATTCTTTTTTTTTGCAAGTTGCTGTTTTTGAGAATCATGAGCGGAATGTGACAACCTTGGTACTATATCCATATCACTCCATACGTTTCATTTTGCAATACATGGCATTTAAAAAAAAACATCCTTTCCTGTTTCAGAAATCAATAGCATCCATATCTCTTGGAAAACGTTGATTAATCCATTTTAAAACTTTTAAGATGATAAAAACATTTACCTAATGACTAGACCAAGTAAAAGATAGGAGTGAAGAAAAAGGTAGAATTATAATATATAATCTTTTATTTACAAATATTTATTATATATTGTCAAAGCATTAAATGAGTAATATTTGAAAAAACATGTAAGAAAGGGAAAAGTAAACAATTTTTTATAAAAACTAGAGTTTTCTGCCTCGATCGTTTATGTTTTTCCTAAAAAAAATACAAAATATTATTTTCTGTCTTTTTTCTTTTCTTACCTTACCTCTTTTCCATAACTATTACTTGACATACGACTTAAAAATGCAAAGTTCAATTTGGTTCAATAATCAAAAACAAAATAATTATTATGCCTACTTCGCGCCAAATCTATATAGGTTGGTGATACTGAATTCACGTCCAATAAATGAGAAAAATAGAACATGTTTTATTTCTTCAATTTCTTCACGAAGTTATTCATGAATTTATTCACGGCAAAATTGGATGTCAAATTGTACTTTACACACGTCAAATTTGACCTTGAAGAGACTACATGAATTTATTGTTGGTGTAAAGCCCGTATTATATCAACACTATATTAAACGGCTTTAATAAGTCATGCTAAATGTTTCTAAATCGTGTGATATATAATATGCCTAATATCGGAGAACTACAAACACAGAGAAGCGACACTCCTTTGAAGTTTCGTGGGCAATCCACCAGTGACAGTTAAGCAACCAGAAAACTAATAGTCAGTGGGCATATATCACACAATATAAATTCTTAAATAAAATTGAGCATTTATATTGACTTTCAATAAATATGAAATATTGCACTGAACAAATAGTTAAATGCAGGGATAGCTTTTGTTGACATTATTAATGGTGTAATTATTTTTGATTTACAAAAGGTTGCAAATACATCGCACAACGCGAAGTAATAGTGAAAATCGTATTGATGGAACCATAGATGAAAATACTTTTTTGTTTATTCTGATGTTGGCATTGATAAAACAATAATACACCGATTCTTTTTGGCTTGTGTTTATACAAGATATAATTTGTTCGTCGTGGAATTTCCTAATTATTAATTAATTATTTTTCGTAATATGATCGAAAAATAACAAAGCCATTGTAACTGCCACAAAAATTTCACAAACTCTAAAAATTCCAATTCTTTTTGGGTGACAAATGTTTGTGATCGACAAGAAGAAACTTTATGTTGAAATCGATTGCTAATGTCTTGGAAACCTATTAGGCCCGGCCCAAATTGAGCACAGCCCACGTACAGCCCACGCACATCCCACGCGCAGCCCACGTATGGTGAAACCTAGTCCAAGTACACGTTTTTCAATACTAACGCATATTGAACACAGCCCACGCCCATGTCAAATATTTGTGTAGAATATGTTTTATCGATAAAATTAGGAAAAACACAATTTACGAGTGTGCTGATTCTGACGAAAAACCTGGACTATGCATAGTAGATTGTTTTCGCAAATACTATTCAACGAAAAGATAGACTGTTTTCAGTATATTAGTTTAAATAAAGATTTTAAACAATTTCTAATCTGAAAATATAAATATCTTGAAAACTTTCACAAATGCTAAGGGTAAAAAATTAAAATTCTTTAACAAAAGACTATAGATATAATTTGAATAAGCTGCTTTTGCCGATTTGACTTTCTTATTACTAATTAGCATAATAAGCAGATATTTTACATGGTAAAACAATTTTAACAATTCTGTTAAAGATTAAATTTTTTTTTTTCATTGAAAACTGAACCTGATATTAATTTCTTGAGAACTTTTACATATGATAAGGGTAATAAATTGAAATCCTTCAAAAAAAGACTATAACAGGTAGATACTCATAATTTGAATAAGCTGGTTTTGCCGATATAGACTTTCTAATTACTAATTAGCATAACAGGCAGATATTGTAACTGGCCACAATGCCGTTGAATATTCCGACTTTCATTTCGCTTGTTTTGAAAACTCCGTCGGATATTAATTTCTTGGAAACTTTTACAATGCTGAGGGTACTAAGTTGGAATCCTCTAACAAAATACTATACAGAGTATTGTTGAAATAAGTGAAATACCGTAATAAACAACAGGAGAGCTAAAAAATACAAAAATTCCAGATCGTATTTTGTTTTCGAGATAAATTTAAATTTGAAAATTTTTTATTATTTTTCTACTTTCTTCATGTTCTTTTTTAAATTAATTTCAGTGTATAAAAGCCATTACAATATGAGCATCACGAAAAAGTACCATCAAATTTTATTTTGAAGTTTTCATCTTAGGTGTTCATAAACATTGTGCTAGGAAATGAAAATTTTTTTTTCCTTAGTTCTCGATTTGTTATATTTCTCATTTGATTTAATAAAAAATTAATTTAAATTAATTTTTTTTTTTGAATAATTATAACGGCGACTTACATCCGAGTCGCTTAGCACAAATAAAGAAAATATTAGTTATGTTCTCATGTAATTTTCATTACTAGTATCATATAAGACACTAAAGCTTCGAACAATTTCAATAAACTTTTCCATTTTCACTGAATAACAAAAAATTGGTCACACAAAACAAAATAACTAAGGTTAGGTAGAGACCCACGACTCACGAAACTGTGTTGCTATTACAATTCTCTCCACGCCAACCAAGTCTGGCAATAGCCTGGCCGTGGTTTGCGTTTAATATGCGTCGCTCCGTCTAAAACCACGTTTTACAAAATAACCCACAGGGGATGTGCGTAGGCTGTGCTCAATTTGCGGCGGGCCTTAAAATTACATTTTTCCTTTAAAGTCGATAATTTTTTTGGTGGTTCTTCGATATCTGCACCGTGGTCAATTGTGTTTATCGTATAATATGGATATATTGAAGGTACTGCGTCATGCACCAATGTTTTTCTTTTATTTCCTTTTACAATAACATTATCTTTAAAATGCAGTTCATAAATCCTATAATTATTATAAAGTAAATCCATTTTTAATAATAGATCTTCTCGTCTGCAAGCTTCTGTCCACACTTTGGTATTACAAATTTTTAACAGAACAAATTTTAAACAAAGAATTTTTCTGTATTTATAAATAATACTTCATTACTTACAACTATAAGAGTATTAGTATATTCTAAGTATATTGTAAGTAATGAAGTATTTAACTTTTGTCAATATCTCATCTTAAGAAATTTACAGTTTTCTCCTCATTAAGTTACAAAATTGTCACTAAATATTGAGATATACAACCAATAAAGTTTTATTGGTTTTTTATTTGTAATTTCCCATTTAGAACTCCTAAATATTTTATGTGTACTCCGATCCATATATTTGATCTTTGTTATTGATATTTAACGAATTAAACATTGACAGACAACTTTTGTATATAGCAAAAAGTAAAGAAGTATTTAGCTTTTTCATAATTTAATGTAAGTTTGTTTATTTGCAACCATGTTTTTACAATTTGGAAGTCTTGTTCGGTTGTAATTTTAAGATTTTCCCAATTATCGGTCTAATTGTTTCCAACAATTTTTAGTTTGAGCATTTTAGAAATTTCTTTGTTTCGTTCAAATCAAATATTCTCGTATATAAAACCCTCTATATATTTTTATTTCCTAAAAATACTATATTCGTATTGTTGTCTTCGAGCGCGTTAACACCCGGCCACCATCTGTTCATTTTTTGACCAGCTTTCGGAGATATTAAATTTAATGAAGAAGACATTTTAAGTATAAATTTAACTTTTAACTATGAACTTTGAACTACTAAATAAATTAGATAAATGGTCAAATGCACTTGTTGAGTCGAATATTTACCACAGGCGCCTACGGACTATCGTAAAATAACCAGAGTTAAAGAATAAGCACGTGTTGATGACAGTTTAGCAACCAGAATCGGGCATGCGTATACAAAAACGGTACACTGTGTTCGTAGTTCTGAGTTCTCTGCTAATATCAACGATCCATCATAACATTGTCTATGAACTACCTGCGCTAAACGGGTGCGCGTACAGTTCAAACCACTCTGTGCATTGTGCAACTCTTCACATTTGATGTACATTTAATATTATATATTTTTGTATACCAATTATCGACGCGTGTTATAAATAACCTCCGTGGTATAATCTAAAAATAATATGTAAATTAATTCATATTAAAAATGGCTGATGTCGTCATCTCGATATGGTGGCATGACCGGAGTGGGGACGAAGGGGCTTGTGACATCAGAAGTCAAAGGGCAAAGTGAAGTGAAGTGCATACTTATCTACTGGTAGCTTTGTTAATAAACATACGTAAAAAAATATATGTCTAACTTGAATATTAACAGTAAAAAAGTATAACAAATAAGGTAAATAATACCTCATTTGGGAAAAATAACTGTTATATTAAACAAAAACATCTACAATTGCTAATTAGTATTCTTAACTATAAACAGAAAATTTTCTGCTATTCCCGCTAATAGACGATCTAGTACTAGTAGTACCTAAAGAACATTTCGAAGACCTTCTGCTATTTTCATTCTGTAACATTTGAAAAACTTCTAGAGACCTCTCTATTGACTTTATGTCACTATCATCGTTAAGCTTTAACAAAAGATCTTCTTCATCTTCGTTGATAACAAGTATTTCTGGAATACTGATGGTCTTGTTGCAAAATCTTAAAAGAGACTTTGAATTTGGGATAGTTTTCATTATGTTGAGGATGTTTTCTTCTACGTTGATCATCACAAATATTGTTTTGTTATAATTAAAGGTTTGTAGAATGTTGATAAGTGTCTGAAAAAAATCAAAATAATAAAAATTTAGTTTGCTAGCTTTAAGTAAGTACCTTATAGTTACTGTTTTGACGTATATAACTCACTAACCTTTGCTGCTGAATAATCTAGCCTAAGAAAATTGGAACAATCCAAAACTATAGGCAGAGTTGGGTAGTCGCTTCTCTTCTTCTTTATACATTCTGCTAAGTAATCAGCACCAGGATAATAAAGACCTAATTCAGGCTTTAAATAAAGATACTTTACTTGAGTTTCCATTATCTAAAAAAAGGTTTCGAAAATAGTTTAGTTAATAATAATTATTTTTTGATTTCCTAGCCCAGTCGTCAGAGATTTGAAATCTAAAAAAATAATGCAAACAAGCTGAATTTTACTAAAGATGTCAATTTTGGACCACAAAAAATATGCCAAAAAAGTTTGACACTCATTTAATAGTCCTGCCAGAGATCTAAGAGATTCATTAATATTTATTATCGATAAGTGTCTATTGCAAGGCAGAGGGGGATCAACTCTAGACAGGATCATACTTTTATTCTCGATTTGCATTACTTATTCTATTGTTAGGTGTATTTACAAGCCGGTCTTTATCATTGTCTACCAAAGCTTTAATAGTTGCAAAAATATTTACATACACTCAACTCACATTTTTACAAAAGTTTGTCATTTCTAAATAGAGTACAAAAAGAACAAAGGCAAAAATATTTAAGAAAATTAATTTCAAAATTGAGGTGTGCCTAAAAACTGGATTTATACCGTTATTAACTGAATTTACAAATATTTACATAAATTACGTATACATAAAAAGTTTACCATTTATAAATACAATTCCAAAAAGTACTTATATTAAAAAAAAATAACATGGACAAGTCAGTTTCACTATCACTGTCATTATCTAGATTTATAATAATTGTTTCTTTGAGCAACCTATCTGTATTTTTCTAGATGCCATTGGTTATTGCCTCCATTTTTATTTCAATTAGACAAACCACAGATGAATTTAGGGTAAACAAAACATGAATTCTCATTACCGATACTTTTAGTTCATGCCATATATGTTCAATAGGATTGAACATGCAATAGTAAGGAGGAAATCTTAATACTGTACGACCCATTTCTTCTGCCAAACTATCGCAATAATATTGTTTTCTGATGGAAAATGATTTTAAAGTTTCAAGTAATTGTTTTTTAGAATAATTATCTTCATAATATATATCATTTTCCAGCATGTATTCCTGGATTTTGTAATAAATATCCATGTATTTCCAGCGTCCTGGACTGAGATGTCTTTTGAAGATTCCAGACCCCCCCTCTATAAAGACGAAAAAAAAAAGCATGTATTCCTGGATTCTAAGTTTGGTGCCATTAGAACATGGAACTTTATTCGGCCTAAGACTATTGTAGCTGGCATTGTCCACCACAAATACACTGTTAGGTGCTATATTTGGCAATTACTTCGTTAAAAACCAGTTCTCAAATAATTTTGACGTGGTGTCATCATGATAGTCGACACGGTTTTTGCATGACAAGGCTATAGCATTAGGTATAAAACTATTTTTTTCTGCATGGATTATTGTAATCTGTTTTCCTTTACTTGATGAAGCTTTTGTACAGCGACAAGAAGAATCTGCCCAACTACATTTTGGAACGTCATGGGTATCAAACCACGTCCCATCCAGATAAACAATTACTCTTCCACTTTATCTGTATTTATAAATTTGAATTAAAAATTCCCTCCTTCATATTTGTAGACAAGCAGATTACATAATCACTTGGCGTTTATCTATCGTTTTTATTTTAAAGCCGGGTTTTAGAAGGCATTGCCTTACTGTCTCACTGCAGCACTTGATTCATATTTAACTTTCTGCAACATAAGCATTATTGTTTTTAACGTGGGGATCATCTATTAGTCATACATAATATAAATTTTTCTTCTAATGATGTACACATCACTCCGGTCTAGTTTCCTAAACATGACAGCGTATTTTCTTTTTCTTCTACTTACTATCGGTTGTTTTGTTATTGACCACACTGTCTTTATTGGTATTTGGGTTAAGACTATCGCTTCCTTTACCGTATTAAATTATTTACAGGTTCTGAAACTTGTATTTTGGATTGAAGAGTTAGATAAAAAAATATATTGTAATACATAAAATTTAACGCCTGAAATGGAATTTATGAAAAGAAAATATTTTTTGAATCTTCAAAACGGTAACAGTTAAGATATATTTTTTCGATCCTGATAATAAACTAACGTTTAAAAAGAGATCAAGAGATGAACAATCAATTATAGACTATACTATAGTGCACAAAACAGAGAAGAACTGGATAAGAGACGTAAGGGTGAAAGGAGTTATGAAATTGGTAGTGACCACTATCTACTAGAAACCACATTCAAATGCAAAAGAAAAGAAATGAGAACATAAATAAAAAACACAAAGAAATAATAAAAATTTATAAACTAAGGGAAGAAACAACGAAGATAAGATACTCAGAAGGGCTAGAGAAAGTGATGGACAATGAACATGAAATAACAGAAACAATAGAAGAAGAATGGGGAAAATTTTAAAATGTATAGTACAAGACACAATACTATCATCGAAAGTTACAAAAACAATCAAAGGCCTCAGCTTCCGATGAGATATATGTAAACATGATAAAACTTATCAATGAAGAAAATCTTCAGTTCTTAACACTACTATTTAACAAAATATATACTGCCGTCGTAAGAGAGAGTACCGTAAATTCAAAATCTTAGTTTGAGACAACATTAAAAACGTGTTTTTTCTATATTGTCCTAGCTTATGTTCTAACAACTTTTAAAATATGTTATATCTAGAAATTTTGGGATAAAAAACTGTTGGAAATAATTTTTAAACTGTAAATTTCTTCCTAATGGTTTAAAATGCACTTGGGGCGTTTAAAGTTGCCATAGAATACTTTTTAAATTTGCTAAATTTAAAAGAAAAAAAACGTAACAACAAAAAACAATTCTTACGGATTTAAAGCTAAAATAAACTATGTATTAAGAAACTATTTTTGGTTTAGAAATGTTGGTCATATGTAAATCTTATCATTTTTTTTTATTATTAAGTTAATGCCTCGACAACTAAGATCATTGGCATGGTACAGTTAGGTACCTAGTGTAGTATGTGTGTGTATGTAGAGTAATTGTCTTGATACCTAGCAAAGTCGACGTCATTGTCTTTGCTAAGAGACGCTAATTGTATCCGAACGTCTGCGGTCCCTCCGGTGAGTACCGATCGCACAAGGATAGAAATTATTTTCATTTATTAATTTTTAATAAACGAAAATTTCTCCACCTAGATGAGATTCGAACTCAGGACCTTTAGGTTTAAAGGTAGGCGCTCTTACCACTGAGCCACAGAGGGGGTTAAATCGAATCATTAAAATAAAACAGATTTGGCAATTTGGTTTTCAACAAAATATATTAAATTATGAAACACTTATCTTCTACATTTTTTTAATTAATATAACATACAGTATACAATTTTAGTAAAACAGCTTTATTTAAAAATTTGAATTAAATCATTGGACGTATCTGAAACTGAAATATTTTCTCAAAACTTGAGGCGGTCTTTTGGCAAGACAGATGATAAATTTTAAAAAATATTATCACACATTGAAGTGGGTATTCCCCGATTTGTATATTTTTCAGGCTCCAACATTTGTTGCTTATTTTTGGCCAAAGACATTGTCAAAAAAGTTAACTGCCTAAGTTCATTATCCAAAAAACTATCTCTGTATTCTAAATGAAAAACGGCACGGTTTGCAACAACTTCCACAAGATCTGCTATATATATACTCTAGGCTTTAATCTATATAAAACTGTCTGTGAAGAATGGTCTTTCCAATTGTAAAAATCTGAATATGCCATAGATTTTGTTATAACTTTTCCGGAGTTGGCTTTTGAAACTGCAGATTCAAAATCTTGAAAGTCATAGGATTTTTTTTTGTTTTTTTAAAGCGTTTTCAACCTGGTGGTGGAATTTGTCAGGAGACATAAAAGTGTGGCCAGGTTCAAAGTATTTTAATGTTATTTTTTCGGTAATAACATGATCAGAATTTATTAAATAAACAAGAAATGAAAATAAAACTCACTTCTTGTTTTGGCAAGAGCAATTTTCGAGCCAAATTGCAATGTGCTTTTGTTCGCGATAGTAAAGGAAAAAGTGAAAATAGGTACTAATTAGCTCTTCCTTTTTACGTCCTGCGGTAGCTTCGTGCCATATAACTGCAAAAGGTTTTCCTTTAGAGTTTTTTCCTATGGGTACAAAACTTTTGTTAAAAGCAATAATACGTTGTGTAAAGAGAACACTTTTGAACATCTCGAGGCGTGGCAACATAATGATTATTTGTTGGTATGCGGAACAATTTTTTTTGAGAAATCGATGGATTTTTGAAAATCACCTCTGTATATCTAACGGGCAGTATTGGCACGTTTAATATGTTTATCCCATTTCTGACAGTGTAACGATGTGCTCAACGTTCAACAGTTCGAACCGTGAAAGGGTCGATAATCACGCATCCATTTCCACGACGAGACGACGAGGTGGGTCCGGAGCAGCTATTTAAAGCGAGCGACTGGCGGAATTAAATACGTCTTGTGACTAACGCTCTAGGCTCCCTGAGCTTTTGTCGAAATAATTAGAAGAGTTAAGAATGACGGTGTCATTACCTTTGTCGGCCGGAAGGATGACAATGTCAGGGTTGTTATAAAGTTCTTTGAGGGCGCGTCTTTTGACGGTGGGAGTTTGGAAGTACGGAGAATTCTGGCGACATCGGCTTGGTCGGAAGGAAGATGAGAAATAGCTTCTTCAGTTTGACAAATAATTTTCTTAGTTGGGATTGAAAGAGATGTGACAGAAAAATTGAAGCCTTTTGATAGAGCTTTGGTAGCTGAATCGGATATGTGAATATCTGAGAAATTGCGAACAACAGTAGAAGGTTCTTGATTCGAAATGGGCTTTGGATTTTTTCTGGGTTTGGGTTTTGATGTCAGAAATGTGTTGGGCTTTTTGGTGAGAAAGACGATCGAAAGTGTCGCATAATTATGGGTGGATATTGAAAGAGTGAATGGGGAGTGAGTGAAGAGGGAATTTGTTGAATCTAAGTTGCGGCGTGTGGAATGAATTGAATTTCTAAGAAGTGAAAAACCAGTTGCTCTAAGGATTTTGGAAATAGATGGAGATTTAGTGTGATGTTTAACTTGAAGAGATTTCGAAATGACTTAATGGTCACGACATGATTTAAGAAAAGCAAGATCACAGAGAAGACGGTATTTGCGTGTTAGAAGATTGAAAAAAGATTTAGTGAGAATAAAAAATTCCTCCCCGTAGAGGCGAATAAAATGTTAGGATAGATTTCCGCGGTCAGATGAATGAAAATCTCTAGGTTCTCGGGAAGAACCGCGTTAAGAATTTAATGCTCGACGTTTCGGCTCCCATTTTGGAGCCATTATCAAGAGGGATACGATTCGGTTCGAGTTCGGGGTCTCAGATGACCTTAGGGTCTTATATTTTTTATCAGCTAAGGTGACACATCTTTAAAAAGTTTAGATACGATATTACCGTCGGCGTCGCAAAGCAAAGATATTATTTTATTACTAGAAGGGGCTATTCTCAAAATCTGGACAATTAATTTCAGAGCGAAGAATTAGTGTGCTGGGAAAGAATGTACAAACTATTTTATTTTTAGATTGTAACTATGACCTCTGAGTACGTGTCAAATTTTTAAGTGTTCTTGTAATGAATATTTTGATTCGCTATGTATGTTTATGGTATTTTTCGTAATGCACATGTCAAATTTTTCAAATTTTTGTTAATACTTCTTTGCGCCTCATAGAGTCTCTAAGTATACACCCGAACTAGTATACTCCCTAAAACCACACTCAGTCCTAACTGCAAGACGCAAGAGTCTAGCAGGCTTAGTCTTGTTCTTGCTTAAGTCTTGCAAGGTCAGTCTTGGTCTTGGTCTTGCTAAAATTAGGCGCTCTTGGTCTTGGTCTTGCAAAAACGCAAGAACAAGACCAAGACTGCAAGATCGATTTTGGGCAACCCTACTCTTATTAAAAAGCTATATTGGGATTAAATGGCGTCAATTAAATATATATATATATATATATATATATATAATATATATATATATATATATATATATATGTATATATATATATATAATTTATATATATATATATATATTCCGAAGAGATCTTCCAAAATGCTCTCGAAAATATTGAAGAAGGAGTAAAAATCAGAGAATATGTAAAAAACTTAAGATACGCAGACGACACCGTCATTATTGCTGACAGTGCTGAGAATTTGCAACTACTTTTGAATGCCATAACCAGAGAGGGAGATAGCTTGGGGCTGAATATAAACACAAATAAAACAAAAGTAATGGCCGTTAAACAATGCCGACATTAATATTTGTATCTACAACAAACAGATAGAACCCGTACACAAATTCCAGTATCTTGGTTGCTGGATAACAAACGATGTTGACTATGAAGTTGAAATACGTTCTCGTATAGAGTATGCTAGGTCCGCCTTTCAAAGAATGAAAAAAATCCTAATAAACTACCTTATCGTTAGATATCCGATACCAATTTGTAAAAACATTCTTTTATTCCATATTGCTATTCGAAGTGGAAACATGGACTCTCAGAATAACAAGTATGAAACGTGTAGAAGCCTTTGAGGTGAGAGTTGTTCGAAGGATGCTGAAGATCTCTTGAAAAAAGCAAGTGACCCAACGTGCTGGAAAGAATGGGGACTGATATTGTAAAAACCAGAAAAACGAGTTATCTAGAACATATTTACAGAATTAATTACTATTAAACTGGGAATAAGCCAAGTTTAATAGTAATTAATTTACAATGCCACAAGAAAATAGCTTCAGAACATATTTACAGAGGAGAAAAATACAACTTCTTACAACTGATAATAGAAGGGAAAGTGGAAAGAAGAAGAGGTCCAGGGATAAGAAAATGCTTCTGACTGAAAAATGTAAGACTGAACAGCTTTATAAAAACTAACTTCACTTGCGGCAAAAAGCAAAAATTGAATACGAAAGCTACTCTTTTTACCTTTTAAACAGATATTTTAATTTTTGTCGACAGGACACTCAGATCTAAAGATATCGAATTTTTACGTCGATTGCAGCTTGTTCGTATCATTTTTATAGGTTCAAATGGAATTTTCACATTTTTTCAATATATTTTCTATATAAAACAATTATCTCTCTTACCTCTTTGATGTCAGTATTTATCTTAGGTCTCGACCACAATTTAACCAGAATCAATAGATTTAAAATGCTTCCTAAAACGAGAGCAGCTTCAACACCAAAGAAAGTGCCTATGACAAATGTTCCCAAGGTCAGGAAAAAGTCTACCTCTAAAAATATATATAAATATTAACACTAAAATATTAATTTAATTAAAACTGGTCTTTTCTCACACTTTCAAACTATTTATACCTATACACACACATATAATATATATATATACATATATATTCTCCATGTCTACGATTAAAAAGGCACAGAAATCAAATCTCGAAACAAAATCAAAGATCCAGAAGAAGAAAAAGAAAAACCAGTCGGAAAAACTATCCTGCCATATATAAAGGGTACGACAGACAAAATCAGCAGAGTGCTACGAAAAAACAAAATAGAAACTATTTTTAACACCGACAAAAAAATCGCAACCATATTACCATCGGCAAAAACAAAAGTTGCATTGGAAAATCAAGGTGTATACAGAATCCCGTGTGAGAACCGCGATAAATCGTACATCGGACAGACAAATCGAAGGATACAAGTTAGACGCGAAGAACATCGAAACGCCATCGAAAGAAAACAGAAAACTTCATATCTAGCACAACATGCCATACACACAGGACACAAGATAGACTTAAATGGAACAACAATGCTAGCCAACATCGAAAATAAGGCCAAACGTGTAATCAGAGAAGCCATAGAGATCGAAAAACATCCGAAAAATTTAAATACCAGAGATGATGCCCAAAGACTCCCAAATACGTGGAAACCAATTCTGCAGAAAAAAGTAGTAATTAAAATAGCGAAGAAGACCCCGCCCACTCTGCGCACAGGACCAATCACAAGAAGTGCTACAAGGTATTTAAACTCAACGTGCAGCGACCGAGAAATGCAGCGGCCTAGATGTCCGGCTAGACGGGCTATACCAGAAAATCCAGAACAAATACAGCCTGTATTTACATACAGGCAAAACCCTCCCTATCCTCCGTCTCAGGACCTAAAGTATCTCATATACTATAACAACATGGTACTGATAAACTTGTTCCCTGCTCAGCGGGGAGACATTATGCAAATTTCGAACAATGTTGTACAGGAATTGTTCGGACATGTAGTCAACCCGTTGCAACAGGGCAATAATGTTGCATTCAGATTCGTACCAATTTATTAATACCGTTAGTTTATGTTTAATAGTGTTTTAGGGACTATTAACTGCCAGGGTGCCAGTAGAAAAATTCACCTAATTAAACACATCCTACATACCTATAATATCCAAATCCTAACACTCACTGACACCCTATTAAACTATACTCCCTCATTCCCTAGTTATAACGTATTCCATCGACCGAAGGACTTCGTATCTAGAGGCAATGGTATCCTTATTAAAAACAACATCCCTTGCACCGAACACATTATCCCTCCTAATGCCAATGTCACTGATACTGACTTCCTGGCGGTTGATTTACACCTTAAAAACAATGAAACGGTTACGATAATCTCGTACTACAAACACGTACAAATGCCACTATCAGATGAGCTTTTTGAGTACTTTTCTACACTCAATAAAGCCATCCTTCTTGGCGATCTCAATTCTAGACACACAATTCGGACACATTTCAAATAATCGGGACGGTATACACCTGACTGATTTATTAGCAGAACTTCCAATCATCAGAATAGAGAATTTCAGACCAACTTTTTTAAATCACATGGGAATGTCCATCGTCGACCATATCATATGTACAGAAAACATAATAGATAGGTTCGGTGATGAATGTTTCATAGGTGACTCAATAACGTCAGACCATTTACCACTACTGGTGAACACAAGTCTGACGGACCCACAAAATCCTTTACCTATGAAAAGACGAGATTATCGAAGAGCCAATGGGGACCTATTCAAAGAAATAATAAATAACAACCTACCCATGTAAGGCAACATCGAAAATACAGACCAAATTGACTTAGCTATAACCCAAGTAGATAGTCTCATAAACGAGGCTAACGAAATAGCAGTCCCACTAACCACGTACAACTTATATTCTCCGGCACTGCCCGCTCACATCGTGGCAAAAATTAAGAGAAAACGCCGCCTCCTGAGAGAATATAAAAGGTACAGAGATCCAATAACACAAACCGAATATAATAGGCTCTCCGCAAGTATAACACTCGAGTTAAATGCGATGAAAAACCAGCAATCGAGGCGCATTACCTCGACTGTTTTGGAGTAAACGAGTCTGATGCTGATGTTTCCATATAAATGAAATGAGCTGACGCACACTGATTAGTCGTGTGTCTAAAGCATGTTGAGGCTCATTTAGTTTCAGTCAGTCTGTTTGCTGTTGATTACCTGATCGTCGTTTTGTCTCGAAACATTTCAATGTACGCAGGCGCAACGTGTTTTTGGAATTCCCTTCTTGAAACCGCTCGAGTATCAACAAGAAGCACATGTGGAAACAGCGATATTTTGTGTTTTCGTCTTGTAGGAGCAACCACTGCCAGAAAACTAGTGCAATTTCGTCGTTATCAATCTGTCGACATCTAATAAAACTGATTGCAGTATGGTTTGTGCAAACATTTTGTTTCTCTTGAAAACAAAATATTTCTTGTGGAAACAAAAACGTTTTCGTTTCAAACAAAAACGTTTTTGACTAAAACAGTTTTGCTCTTTCTGTGTGCGGCCACCCTAACAAGACAAAAATCGATCCGAATCTCTCACTTAAAAGTTGGAAATAATATTATTTCCACACCTAAAAATAAAGCGGAAGCATTTAAAAATGTTCTCTAAAACACATTCAGATCTCCGGAAAACTCTGACTTCTGTATAAACTTTAAAACTCAAACCGAAATACAAGTCCGTGAAATACTCAACACTCCATACCGTCATAAGGACTTCATCAATAATCCGATGATAGCCCCCACAGACGAAGAAACAATACAATAGCTGTGTAACGTCAGTAAAAACACAGCTCCTGACCCAAATAGCATTCATAATAAATGCCCAAAACAACTACCTCCGAGTATATTCACAATAATCACGACTATAGTTAGAGACTTCCTAGAGAACAACAATATCATTCCAAACTTCCAATTCGGATTCAGGCCGAGACATTCAACACAAAATGCATTAACAGAAGTAGTCTCACACATATCACAAAGCATTAATTCCAGAAACAACGTCGTTATAGGCACGTTCCTAGACATCCAAAAAGCTTTTGATCAGGTTTGGCATACAGGCCTGATCAAGAAATTACAAGTTATTGGACTGCCCTGCTCCGTATTGGCTCCTACATTATACAGTATATATACTTATGACATACCTCGAGGTCCTAGAGACTCAATGAAAATTCTCCTGTATGCGGACGACACGGCTCTCCTCGCATCAGGCATGAAAAAATTAGCATTCAATAACGCACAAAATCAAATAAATAACATAACAAAATGGTGTGCAAAGTGGCGTATTACTCAACAACGCGGCTAAAACACAAAACATCGTGTTCAGTCACCCGACATACCGACTCGAGAATCCTCTGCCTTTATACCTAAATCAGACGAGGCTCGAAATCAAATCTTCTGTCACCTACTTAGGAGTTATTCTAGCAAGAACTCTTAACTGGGAGCCAGAACTTTGTAATGTTCTGAAACAAGTAAGGCAACGAACATCGCTTCTGGGGGGTATAAACGGAAAATTCGGAGCTACAAACAAAACGACACTATTGCACACTTACAAAACATTCATAAGACCAGTTATTGAATACCGTGCTCCTTTATTTATGGCATTAAAACGTAGACAAAGGAACAAAATTCTTGCATGCGAGAGGCAGATTCTGCGAAAGATATGCAGGAAGATTTTCCACTATCCCTCACAGTTAATACACGCTACAGCTAATAATATCCCGTTAATAACAACCCGACTCCAATCCTTAGGCAAGAAATATACCTTGCGGACTATCCAGGGTCGCAACACCAGGGCCCAGAGAGTTCTCAAGATGCCTTGCCACCCTGAGGGCACTTAGTAGTCAGAAAAACCAAAAATAAAGTACCACACATCCCATCCCTCCTACTAAATGCGGAAGGAGCGGATCTCCCTGATGACTACTATGATGTCCTCGAATCAACTCCTTACGAGTACCGCGTTCATAACTAAAAAGGACAGGGCGAGTTAGTTTCTGTGGTTTCCTAACTCATTACACAATAATACCTGAACCTGGGTGAGGTTGTAGCCACAACTATCCTCCACGTTTGAAAAAAAAAGACCAAAAGAGTCTGCTAAAGATTTGTTTGAAGAGAGGTGTTTATAGCATTGACCACCAGGCCGAAGAAGATGATGTCCACACAAAAAACACGATGCCAACCCCACCACAAGGCCAACAAAAGCAGAGATACGTAAACACTCCTCCCCTCCCGCCGACCACAAAATAATTAATAAGTAATTAACTCGACAACCAACCCTGTGTAAGGTATTATCTGGGTAATTTGCATAATCCGCTGGAGGACGAATTACAGTGCAATACACTGATTCGGCCGCCGGCAGGGGAAACAAGCGATTACAGTAAACAATAGCAATAAACGGGGAGGGCAACGAAGTATAATTATAGTGCGTGCAAGCACTCTTGACCACGGCGCAATAGACGAAATTTGGTTTAGTCCCCACTTCCGTGCGAAACGCATTATACTATGCAATGTATAATTCCACTTATAATAGAACCTTTCTGCCTTTACGTGAATTTGACTCCGCCTTCTGAAAAATCTCCGCTTGCCACAGTCGCGCTCGGTCAACAACATAATTTCAGTGCAATACACTGATTCTGTGTTGGCCGATAAGCGCAATTGTGAACTAAAAGCGAAAGACAAAGTAAGGAAAAACGGCAGACAAAGAATAAAAATGTAATACGCTTAACTAGCGACGACAATCGGCAATACCGATTCTCAGCCTTAAAACTAATTCCACCCCAGACATTAACGGTAAAATACAAAACCCAAACAAACCCCAAAAATCCCATTCCCTGAAGAGGCTGGAGCCTAAAACTCTCTGGCAGAGAGAGAGTTTTACGAGAGAAGAGATCGAGAAATCAGTTCTCCTGAAACATCAAGACGAAGCAAAAACTAATCTTAATCTAACTTGACAATGGCAAGTGTGACCTTGCCGTAACATCGTCAAAACAATGGTTTTTCTAAAAACCAAAACTATTTAACGCGGAGTCAAACCCGGAAAACAACTATATAATATATATATATATATATATAAAAAATATATATATATATATATATTAATATATATATAAATATAATAATAATAATTTATATATAATATATATATATATATATAATAATATATATATTATATATATATATATATTGTGATATTTAAAGTCTTGGTGCTCCAATCAATTACTAAGCTAATTAATTAATTAATTAATTAAAATTATTTAAATGATATGAATATGATTCTATCACAATTTTTAATTCTCTTATCTCAAGGTTATATTCGTGCTTCTATATCTATGCTTTACATGTGAAAGGTTAGGTCCAAAGAATACCGGAATAATAAAAAACATAGATGATATAACATTATATATTGAAATAAAAATAATGAAATAAAATTCACACTCAAATGTTTTCAATAAACAATATATCATATAATGATTCTTAAAATTGTTTTCTTCGTACGTGAACCTTCAAAATTACTAGTACAAACAATATTAGTTGAAATCTCAAAATCCAAATATTATTCTAAATCTCCTAATCAAAATATTTATATCCTTTCTAAATTAAGTGTAAAAATTGTGTTATCAATAAAAGAAAAACTGCAGAAAACAAAACTATCTCTCTCTCTGATGATGAGTGGTCCCAATCCTTGTTCCTTGTAGACTATACTATTTACTCGTAGCCGCTCCCTAGGTAATCAGCAATCTTACAACAAATTATTGCAAGTTTATCGTCCTTAATGATCTCCTTCAAATGCACGAATCATTCAAATTATGCTAGCTTCTTCTTCTCTCAATAAACTGAATCTCTCGTTGGCCTGAGTGAAAAATGACTCTTGGAATATCTTTTCTTTACGATAAACTGAATCTCTCGTTGGCCTGAACAGTGACTCTTGGAATATAAGTAGAAAATATAACTTACAATATTTTACTGGATCAGCTTGTGTCAGATACACTAACTACACGAAGACTCACAAACTTTCACTGCTACTGCTTCCTACCTCTGGGAAACTACCCGAGAACAACGGCCGTTCGCCTTGCACCCTTGGAAACCAACTGACTATCTTTTTTTCTTCAAAAACTAACTAAAGTCTCATTCTTAAACCAAACCTCCCACCTTTTCCAATCTCATCCAATCAAAACGCGTCATACATCTCCCATTTCTTCATTTCGATAACACACAAATTTTTACCTACAATTATAAAATTTCCTAAAACTTGTTTATAAAATAATATTTTCCTACCAATTCTTAAAAACTAACAAAAACATATCTTTCTAAAATCTATTCTATTGTCCTAATTACTGCACAACATTTATTTGGAAAAAACCGCTTCAATTGTCTATGGATTTTACTTCAGCTTATTCACGTCATACAAATATGTTTTAACAAAGAAAATAATTTATGCATATCTTACGTTTTGTTAAATACAGGTAATCCAAAATTAAAAGACTTTCATTCTTCGAAATGTTTGTAGTTTATTGTTTGACTTACCTGAATTATTTTAATGTTTTTGAACTTTGAAATATTTTAAGCAAACCAATATTTTTCTCGATTTTACATATCATAACAATCAATATATATATATATATATATATATATATATATATATATATATATATATATATATAATATATATAAGCGAGGTTCCTACAGCCCCTGCCGCTTCTCGCATTTCGACCCGCTATCCTTTTCTGTCCATCCATTCGTCTTATTTGATGGCTCTATCTCTCATTCTGTGAAATACATTTTGTTCCCAGGCAACTGAAGGCCTTCTACTTCTCCTTCTCCTTCTTTGTTGTGGTATGTAATTTAAAGCTTTCTTAGGCCATCTATCTTCATTCATTCGCTTCACGTGACCATACCACACTAGTTGTCTGGTTTCAATTCTGAATATACAGTATTTGTCCTCCTTCTCTAATATCTTCATTCCTGATATGATCTTTTTTGGATACACCACACGCTCTCCTTAGGAAATTCATTTCTACTACTTCTATTCTTTTTCTATCTTTTTTTGTAATCTGCCAAATTTCTGCCCCATAAGTCATAATAGGCTCTTCCAAGGTTCGATAGATTGTCAATTTCGTTTCTTGTCTAATATATTTAGACCATAGTAGAGAGTTTAGAATGTTAACCGCTTTTTTTCCTGCTGCGTTCTGTTTTTAATGTCTCTTTTGGTAGTGCCTTCTTTAGATATTATAGATCCGATATATTTATATTAATTGCATGTTTTTGTGTTTCTAATTTCTAAAGATGTGTTTAAAGATCCAAGTCGACTATTCAACCGAATAGTGGAGATATCCCACCATCTCTGGCATTGAGCATGTTTTGTTGTAAAAACAAAAGCTTGATAAATAAAGAACCGAGAAGATCACGAAGAAAAATACAAAATCTGATGACAAGTGAACAGAAAAAATTAAAACTTCGAAAGCTATCAAATTAAACCTAAACATTGAGTAGAAAGAAAAACAAAGAGGGGAGTGGGATTGAGTAGAAAGCCGAAAGCTAACAATTCTATGGATTTAAAGATGGGCGACTACGAACTAGGTGACTACGTCATTGTAGTTTACGAGGAGAAACATTTTCCAGAAGTAGTAGAAGAAATAACAGAAGATAAATTCAAAATTAAAGGTATAGAATAAATAGGATATCATTGAAGATGATCAGAGACAAATTATATTATTTAGTGTTATCCAGGGCAAATTATTTTTTTAACTCAGCCTCAGTACATCAATAAATGGAGTCTTTTTTCTATACCTGAAATAAAAAAAATTTTAGGTCTTTCATAGCACTTTGCTCTTATGCAATAAATGAAAAAAAAACTGCTGCTAAGTAACTTATGAAAGTATTTTATGTTATTTTTTTATGTTCAAAATATATTATGTATGTACATCGTTTTATTTTATTTAGTTTTTCTATGCCTCTTCTACATAAAAATTATGTTTTTATGCTTCTGTGCGTGTAAAAAATTGTGTGTACAGTTTACAACAAAAAAAAAGAAATTGCTTTTAATCCATTTTCTCTATTATTTCGTTTTCTTAATATTTACGTCTAAAGACAAATCTTCCTTAACTGGGTCGTTATTAGGTCTTCTATAATTACTTGAGAAGGGATCATTTGTCCTTTAAATGTAACAATAACTGTCGATGTAGGGATTTCCTCTTCCCCATTTATTCTATTCATTCTTCTAATATTTATAATTTTAAAATTATATCCCAATTTAGGTTTTATTATCTGACTTATACACTGATAAGTCAATATCAACTTGTTTAATACCTGACTCCTTTTTTGAGGTAGGTACATGTACGTCGTATTCCTTTTTACATTCCTATTTAAAAAGATATTAATTTCACCGATTTTTCAGCACCAATAAATATCTATTAATCTATTGGTATAGGTACTTACTGTTACATTTCCATAAAACTGGAAGTATTTTATAGTCCAATAAAGAACTAACTGCCGTGATTAGAACTGCAGCTAAAACAGCTTTTGGAATATAATAGAAGTAGGGAGCCAAGAAACTAAGAGCAAAAACTATCACTGTACCTAAAAAAAAATACTTTTTTATAAAAATGTATTTAACTTATATATTATCTAAATATTTACTTCAGTATAGTCATTTTCGATTTAGGATCTACTAATATTCTCTATTTAATACTAGTATTAAATATAACATTAAGGACCAGATTTTTCTTAAAATATTTATATTAATATTTATATTAATATTTATATTAATATTTATGTTAATATTTATATTTATATTATTATTTCTTCTCTAAAAAATTCCTTTATAAAAGGTACAATAATAAAAACCCTATCGGGCTACATCCTAAAATGGTTTCGGAATTAATATTCCATCATCAGTGATATCCTAAAAAGTATAACCACTTTAATTAAATCAAATGTGAAAGTTAAAATTTTGACCAAAGTTATTACAAAAAGGATGGTTAATACTTGCTAGTTTTACATGTTTGAAGCCACTAAATATATTAGTGAAAACTCTTTAAATGTTGTTGGATTAACTTTGAGTTCCATTTTTTTTTTAATTAAAAACTGTGATGTTTAAGTTACAAAACAAATAGATTACATGGCAACGTAATACTCCACTGGGGTTGCTAGTCCTTATACGAAGTATCTGCGAGGACTTGTTGATAGCAATTAATTAAAATAACATGTTAGGACGGAAGTCTGAACAAATCAGTCAATATAATCGGAGGTATTTGTGTTGTACCCACTGATAGCTTCTGTAGTTGATTCGGTGACTCTTTCTTTCTTAAGGTTGGAAATCTTGGTTCCTGCATGTACACTGCATCCTTTGTAATTTGCTGAATGGTTATTACCGCAAAATATCAGATTGAATTTTATAGAGCAGTCAGCTGTTGGATGATTGAGAGCAAATTTTACACACCTGTATTCATGATAGCAAAAATATTTTGTGTAACCGTATCTTTGGCATCTATCTAGTACATTGTACTAACTTACTTTTTAGTCTTGGAGCTTCGACATAAATGTTTTCATTGATTAAATATTCCATCTTAGAAATTTCTTCAGAAGAAAGTTCTTAGAATATTGGGGGTTTTTACCGCTCGAATAGGCAATCAAGTAATACTCGGAATAAGGCAAAAACATATTGAGGATGTCAAAAACGAAAATGGAGAACTGATAATAAACTTCTGCACGAATAACGCACTAAGAATAAACAACATATTTTTTGACCGCAAAGACCAACACAAATATACATTTAATAACACCCGTGGACAAAGATCCATGATAGATTATATTATAACCAACAGAGATATACATCTATCGAAAATAATCGAGTAGGATGCCTCAACTCAGCAGATGTAGGTAGCGAACATAGCCTAGTATTATGTAAAATATGAATCATCCTTAAATGCTTTCCAACCAAGAGAGCGGCGCCAACACAAACAAAAATCAAAGTCGAAAGAATAAAAACGGAATCCACGGAATACTTTTACAGGAAAAGAATATCAGAGAAGATCGCTGGGAATGAAATATAGGAAAACGATAACATCAAGGAAAGCTAAAAAAACTCAAAAATATCATAATTAACGCAGCAACAGAATCACTTGGAGAGAAAGAAAGTAACGAACACTAACATATCAAAAAAGAAAACACCTTGGTTGTGAAGGTAGAGGGGAAGTGAAGACAAAATGTGAAGAAAAGAAGAAACCCTTTTTACAATACAGAACATAATAAACACAACAGGCATACAAACACTATAAACGAATCAGAAATAAAACGATTACTTTAGTTAGACAAATAAAAAGGGAACACTGGCAGAGCTTCTTAAAACAGATGAAACACGACTTCAACGGAACACAAAAAAAAACATGGAGAATGATCAGAGGACAAAAAAAATAAATAAACGAACTAATAAAAATGAAACACATTCAGAAGTAAACATGGGTAGACTACTTTCGATCCTATTTGCTAAAAGTGATGATAATGAACCACCAACACCAGAAGTGAGGACATACAAATAAATAAATATTGAGGAGGAAGAGGTAGAGGAAGCATTAAGGAAATTAAAATATTGAAAATCACCAGGAGAGAACAGAATACCGAACGAACTTCTAAAGTACAGCGGACCAGATCTGACCAAACAACTATTAAAACTAATCTAATAAATAATAAAGCAAAACAGAATTCCTCAAGAATAGAGATCAAGCATCCTAATACCTCTCTTCAAAAAGGAAGACAAATCGGACCCGGGAAATTACAGAGGAATGAATTTATTAAATTCAACACAAAAATTAAAAACCAAAGTGATAACAAATAAACTGAATGAAATTATAACACTAGCAGAAGAACAAAAAGGTTTTAGATAAAAAAAAGTCATGCACCGATGCTATAATTATAATGAGGTAAGTGCAAAATCATTACAATACAACAAACCGGCAGATTTATGTTTCGTGGATCTTAAAAAGGTATTTGACCAGGTCAAATTAAAAGACGTTATCCACTTACTGTACGCAAGAGAGATACTCTAGGAATAAACAAAAAGATCGAAAATACCTACCAAAACAACACAATAAAAGTAAAAGTAGAAGAACAACTAACCTAGTAGGTGGGAAATAAAATACCACCCGCGAACCAAAACAAACTAAGGTATGGTAACCCTAACAGAAGAGTCTCTGGTCCTCCAAGTCTAGGGGTTGGGCGTAGGGCTAACAACCCTACCCTGAAAAAAAAAGAATTGTTACGAAAGCTGAAAAAACAAAAACCGGACGGACCTTAAGTAGACGATCTCGCAAACGAAAAAAGGATATTCGATTTGGATCATAGAACGTGAGAACGTTGTACTCTGCAGGAGCGATGAGATGTCTCTTAGACACTCTTAACAAATATAATATGGACATAACAGCTATACAGGACATGCGATGGAAAGGGACCAATACCCTCCAGAAGAATCTGAATACCATATATTATAGCTGCCATCAAACTCAACATCTTTGCCATCTTTGGGGTAGGCTTTGTAGTTAGAAAAAGAGTTAATAACCTAATAATAGATTTTGACGCTATAGATCATAGAATATGTGTTCTAAGAATACGTGGAACATTCTTTAACTACAGTCTTATAAACGCACATGCCCCCACTGAGCATAAAACAGACACAGAAAAAGAAGAATTCTATGAGAAACTAGAACAAACATATATACAGTGTCCCAATAATGAGGCTAAGTTGATTATCGGAGACATGAATGCCAAGGTAGGACAAGAGGAGATGTACAGACCAATCATAGGACCTTACAGCATACACAAAGGATGTAATGATAATGGGACGAGACTTGTAAATCTCGCAGCATCTTTGAACATGACGATCAGTAGTACATACTTTCAACATAAACGTATACATAAAGTGACGTGGACATCGCCAGATCATCAGACCCAAAATCAGATGGACCAGGTACTGATTGACTTAAGACATGGATCAGCTATACTAGACTGCAGAAATTATAGAGGTGCAAATATTGACTCCGATCACTATCTCATAGCTGGACGTCTCAGAGCACGTATATCAAACGCCAGGAACGATAAAACTAAACCAAAAATAATCAAATATAATGTTGATAAATTAAAGTGTACTGAAGTCGTAAGAAACTTCCAACTATGCTTAGATCGTAAAATATCAGAACATCCCAGAAATGATGTATATCCCACTGAACTTAACACAAATTGGGAGTTTATGAAAACCACACTCAAAGAGACCACAGAGGAAGTGCTGGGTGAAGTACACAAAGGACAGCGAAACAACTGGTTTGATGAGGAATGCCAACCAGTAACGAAAGAGAAGAACGACGCGTATCTGAAAATGATCAACAGAAGGACTAGGAGCAATGTTGAAGAATATCGAATAAAGAGACGAGAGGAAAAACAAAAACACAAACAGAAAAAGCGTCAACAAATCAGTAAAGAGTTCGAAGAAATGGAAAACCTTAATAGAGAACACGTATACAGAAAATTTTACAAACAGGTTAACACAAAAAGAAAAGTTTTCAAGCCACAAGCAAACCAAGTCAATGCCCTTAACGGAATTCTTTTAAACGAGAGAGTGGAAGTACTAGAAAGATGGCAGGAACATTTTAGTACGCTACTTAATGGAGAAAGTAGAGCTGAGGGTAGATATGATATAGAAATAGAACAGGAGGATACTGAACTACCAACTTTGGAAGAAATAAACAAAGCAATTCAGTCTCTAGCCAGAAACAAGTCAGCCGGAGCAGACAACCTACCCGCAGAAATATTTAAATGTGGCGGTCAAACATTTGTAATCCTCCTTCACAAACTACTAATACAGTTATGGCAAGAACGCGCGTTACCAGAAGATTGAAATACTGGAATTATATGCCCCATACAAAAAAAAAGGAAACGTTCTTGAATGTTCCAACTTTAGAGGGATTTCCCTTCTAAATACAGCATACAAAATTGTGTCCCTGATACTTAACGAACGACTAGCACGGTATATTGACAATATAATAGGATCCTACCAAAGAGGCTTCTTGAAAAACAAATCTACCATTGATCACATATCATCCATCAGACAAATATTAGAAAAAACGACGGATTACGACATAGACTGTCATTGCATCTTCGTAGACTTTAAGGCAGCGTACGAATTATATTCGGCGATGATCGAATTAGGAATATCAAAAGGATTGGTAGATTTAATTAAAATGACAATGATGAAAGTCGAATGTAAAGTGCGCGTACAAGGGGATGTTTCAAAACCATTTAAAACCAACAGAGGACTGCGCCAGGGAGATGCGCTATCATGCACGCTGTTCAACCTAGCGTTAGAAAAAGTTATGAGAGATTCGTGAATAAACTTAAAAGGTACGATATATACCAAAAATGAGCACCAGAAATGAATATAACCCAAAATGAACCAGTGGAGGCTTTCTCGCGTATCAAAAATGCCACAGAAAACATCGGACTTCTGATTAACATCCAAAAAACTAAATATATGCCGGCCATATCAAGAATTCAACAAAATAACTTAGAGGTGCAACACGAAACGATAGAAATGGTAGAAGAATTCTGCTACTTAGGATCACTGGTAGACTACAAAAATAATACATCCAACGAGATAAAAAAAAGAATATGGCTAACCGCTGTTATTTTGGCCTGGGCCCTCAACTAAGAGCGAGAAGTATGTCAATGGCAACAAAGTGCAAACTTTATAAAACAATAATACGTCCAGTGCTCACATACGGATCGGAAACATGGGTAATGACGACCCGAGATGAAGAGTTACTACGAGTCTTTGAAAGAAAAGTATTGAGGACCATATATGGCGGAGTAAACGAACACGAAGTGTGGAGAAGGCGATATAACTTTGAACTCTATAGACTTTTTGGTGATGCAGATATTGTGTATTTTATCTGGTAGCATCTAAAATCCAAAATATATTCTGCCCAAAAATTTACAGATATAAAGTATTATAAATGCGAATTAATGAAGACTATGCAAAAATAACACCACGTGTTCTGTAGCTAATGCTATAAGAAAATTTTACAATCGATTGGGATACTGCTTAGTACAAAATGGCTGATTGTTTGAACAAATTATTATAAATAATACCATTATCATAAAACATTATCATAAAATCCAGTTACAATTAGAAATCACGGTCCCAGTATTTTTTAATTTTTTTTAATCCTTTTAATTGTTGGAGCTGTTGTCTTAGAATATCTTACGCTATATAAAGATCTGGCCTACGTTCAGGCTTGAACATAAACTTTGAAAAAACAAAATACATGACCAATTTAGTTTCAAGTGATGTTATGAGGGTAGATGGGAACGAAGTACATCAGGTCTTTAGCTATATCTATTTAGGGCATGAAATTAGAATAGAAAAAGACAATCAAACTTGTGAGATCCAGCGTCGCAGAGGCTTGGGATGGGGAGCATTTGGCAAGATACGAGATATTCTAAAAGGAACGCTACCGATTTGCTTGAACAAAAAGGTTTACAACCAATGCATACTGCCAGTAATAACATATGGTTCCGAAACAATAACTTTAACCAAACATTCTGCAAATAATTGAGAGTAACCCAAAGAAAAATGGAAAGAGCAATGTTGGGAATAACTAGAAGAGATATGGTACCAAATAGGATAGTGAGAGAGAGAGGACTAAAGTGACAGATGTCATAGAAAAAATTGCACAAGCCAAATGGAGATGGGCTGGACATATAGCACGTTTAAATGATAATAGGTGGACCAAAAGACTTGTGACGATAATATATTTTATTGTCACTATGTGTTAAACAAAACACGTTTTTGTTCCGTCTCGAATAGTATAAAAGTCGAAACTGAAAGACAGCTAACCATTCTCGACGCGTTGAGTTGAGAATATCCGACCTTGGGGACAGGTGAGTTGAACGTGTCCCAAATCCTTTCCGAACCCAGTCGATCTGGCGCGCTGAGCGAGATTGACAATCCTTCCTCTGACCGCGTCAATCTGGTGCGTTGAACGAGATTGACGTATTCTTTCCATCTAGTGTGTTGAACTAGATAGACATCCTTATTCCCGTTCGAGTACTCGTTCTGCGTTGAGGAACGAGCACGACCTCAATTCCTCGATCGCCATATCTTAGTTTATCATATCGAATATCGTCACACCCGTCTACCGAAATAAATAGACAGTACGTTCTTGTATTTAAGCATTATATTCAGTAAACACTTAACGTTAATTACCTTTTTTTTGTATGTTAGTTCAAAATAAATGTCTATACGAACGAATCCTGTTTCTCTGGCTGAAATACACTACCCGACATCACAGACTCATAGAATAGAGACCTAGAGAAGACAAAAGACACCGAGGCAGACCACCAAAAAGATGGATGGACGACTTGAAAAAAACAGTCGGAAATTGGATACAGAAGGCGCAAGATAGAGTACAGTGGAAGAACATTGAGGAGACTTATATCCAACAGTGGATGCAAGAGATTGAGGAATGATGATGATGAAAATGATAAAGATCTGACAGTGCTCGCACTATTACTTGAATAAACCAGTATTTCCTCCACTGAGTACATGTTATTAACTATATTTCTTTTTAAACGGTAAATAATAAAAGAAAAATATTGACAATTCAAATACTTATTGTTAATATCTAAATTCATTGTGACCGAAAGCAATCCGTTATACAAATTCTGAACTACGTATGGCCTAACCTTTAAAACAATACGCTGGTAAATGTATTATATTTTTGTAAAATTTTGGAATTGTTTAAATCGTAGGACAATTTTAATGTTTGTTTTTTCAATACAGATTTCAGTCCTCTATAAATATATCATAACTTAAAATATTAGAAACGCAAAATTTCAGCTGTTTAGAATTTCCCATCGAGTTTTCTATAACCTCTTTGACTATACACCACGCGGTATACATTAATATATGAGCATCATAAGTAAATTACCTGAATAAAGTCCTTGAAGAGGTGTTCGTACATCACTACTGCTTGCTACAGCAGATCTAGTGAAAGCACCAGTACTGGGCATAGCTCTAACAAAAGAACCAAGTATATTACATAACCCTAGGGCCATCATCTCTTGTGATGCATCTACCACTGTATTAATACCTACAAAAGAATATAAGAACTTTATTTGGGATAGTATATACTTGTAACTAAAGATAAGAATTTTAAATAGCAATAAGAAAAGTATTAGCAGACAAAAAGAGGACACTGGAAAAGAGGAAGAACAACTCTTAAGTGTTAAGGTAAATGCCAGTAAGTGACATTTTTGTCAAAAATGAGATATTAATGTATCCTACCTAAATAGTAACTGCTCTTACAAAGGATTTGGTGCACATTTATAGTCAACCTATACCAAATTTAGCAATGGCAAAAAGCAGTAACTAACACAGTAACTCTCAATAAGTAACGTAATAACTAATTACTACTGTTTGCCTACACAGAGGTCTGGAACATAATTTTTAATGTGAATGTAAGCGGCATTATCTACTTAGTAAAGTAGATACTGCTATTTTCACTTGCTAACATCACCTGATTTAACATCCGTTAAAATAAGCACATGACATCACCAGAAAGTGTAAATTGCAGTTCTTAGATTAACTGACCATACTCAGATTTGTTTAGTCTACTGTTTGAAGTATATGTAAGGTGTTGTATTTTATGGAGTGCACCAAAACTATTCAAATAACATGTTTACCTCACGGGGTAAGTACTTAGTGTTCTTAATAAAACAAGCAGAAGCATTAGCTCAAGATGGTAGGTATATTTATGTTTTTAAAATTAACGCTTTTTTTATAAACAAGTAATATGTCTACACCAGTTTTTGCTATAGTATCAATTTTTATTATTATTTTTAGTTTTATTTTGTTATTTAATAATGATGTTGTATAGTCTCTTTTTAATTTTGTCTAATATCTTTTAGTTGTATCTAATCATGGTCAGTTTTTTTAACTCTTGTTTGATGTTTTTTTTTTAAGTAATGAATATTATTATTATCAAAATTAATAAACAAATTTAGAGAAAATAAAACTTTAGGTAATTTGATTTTTTTTCGTGGAATACTGCGAATAATTTAAAAATTATAAATAACTTTCATATTTTAGACCTGTCAGCTCTTAACCGATCAGTATCAGCTATCGAAAAATAAAGCGATGAAGAAATTAGTACAGCTACTGAAGTCCAACTGTCCTCTTTTAAGAGGCATGTGCCAGAAGCATCAGATCAAGAAGATAAATCATGTTTTCTTTAATTCGGATTTAACTCTACATAACTTTAATATTTAATATCTATAAAGGACAATACAGTAGAAAAATACAAGATGAAACTAGTGAATACGCCGACAATTTCATTGACGATCCAAATTATCTCCCTGAGACTGATAGTTCAGAAGACAATAATAATATTACTGAAGGTAATGTATCTGAAAAAGTCATCAGTTACGAGATGTGTAGAAAAAATTAAAGAGCAAAGAAGAGTAGTCTTCTGGAACGAATTCTATAAAATGGATTACAATTCAAGAGTAGCTTGGATACATGGTTGTATTGCCCAAAAAGATAGAGCACGTGGAACAACTAAAGTGAAAGTAAGAAAGAGAAGTAATTTAATCTACACGTTACCGGATGAAAACGCACAATCAAAGGGCATATTATGTAAAAAATAATTTTAAGAACTCTTGGTTATGATGAAAAAAACGTATCACAACGATGTTACGCAATTCCACACCGGAATCAATAACTCCAAATAAACACCAAAATTCTGATTTTATATGTTTCGTTATTTAAAAAACATAAATGATGTATCCTCTTTATGTTACTGACTTACTAATACTGGTATTTTCTTATTAATAACTTCCTCTTTCAATATTGGTAACCAGATCCTACTACATTCTGCCGAGGAATTTGCGACACAATTGGCCTCATTTAGCATAATTAGAGCCGCTTCTTTGATTTTTCTTTTTTTACCATCCATTTCTTTTAGGACTACATTTGAATTATTCCATTGAACCCTATGTTCATTTTCCCATGCGTGTTTACATATTTGAGATCTATCAAATTCTCTATTTTTAATATAAGATTGATGTTCACTTATTCTAACATTTAATGGCCTTGATGTTTCACCTAAATAAAACTGATCGCATTCACAAGGTATTTTATAAATGCAATTCTTTGTCCTTTCTTGTTCATTGTTAGGTTTGGTTTTGGACAAAATAGATCTCAACGTGTTTATTGTTTTGAATGTTGTTGAAATGTTGAATTTATTTCGTATCCTTTTAAGTTTTTCTGATAATCCTTTTATGTTTGGTATTATTTTCCTCATATTATTCCTTGTGTATGCTGTAGGATCTCGTTCTAAGTTGTTCTGTTCTATTCGATCGATTGTTGAAAATTCCTTATTTATAAACGATAAAGGATAATCATTTTTTAATATAACAGATGCTAACAAATGTTTCTCCTCCAAGAACGAATTTTCGTTAGAACAGCTAATTTTGGCTCTATGGTATAAGGATTTAATTATGCCCTTTTTTACATTAACATTGTGATTTGATTTGAAATTTAAATATCTAATGGTGTGTGTTGGTTTTCTATACACCTGAGTCTCATATCCAGTATCGTTCTTAGAGATTAAAACATCCAGGAAAGGTAGCGTGTTATTATATTCCTTTTCCATGGTAAATGTTATTGTCTCTTCTTTATCGTTTATATCATTTAGGAATGTGTCCAACAACTCCAATCCATGAGGCCATATTGAGAATACATCATCTACATACCTCCACCATACTGTGGGTTTGAAATTTTGTTTAGAAATGATATTTGTTTCAAAATTTCCATAAATATATCGGCTAAGAATGGAGATAAACTAGAGCCCATTGCTAGACCAAAATTTTGTTTATAGAATTCATTATTTAGTTGAAAATATGTATTATCAGTACATAATGTTAATAACTCCATTATAGCCGATATGTTTAGTCTTGTTCTAGTTGGCAATGAATCATCACTCTCTAATTTTGTCTTGACTATACTTAAAGTCTTATTTAATAGCACATTCGCAAATAAACTATTTATGTCAAAACTTACCAAAGTATTATTTGAATTAAATTCAATATTTGATAATTCATTTAAAAAATGTTGTGTATTTTTTACATGGACGTATAAATAAAGAACGTCCATGATTTTTTATGAATGTGTCATTTTTATTTGTAAATAGTTTTAAAATATTTAATAAAAATTTTGATAGTTCACTACAAGGAGAATTCATGGTACTACAAATGGGTCTAAGTGATATATTCGTTTTATGAATTTTCGGTACTCCATAAAAATGAGGAGTCTAAAATACTATAGTCCCAGTTAAATAGTAATTAATTTAAAATGCCACAAGAAAATAGCTTCAGAACAATATCATATTTTATCGTTAATTTCATCCATGTATCAGTCACTACCGAATAGAACATACTCCTAACCGTTTGTATCTGGCTAACGATATCACAATTTGAAGTATGCATGCTGATTACCTTCAAAATTATTCAGAAAATAAAATTAGTTATTACACCTATCAAAAAGTGATGTTCGACATGAACATTAGCTTTACAAAAGTAGAAAATGAGGAGTGCGACTACTGTATGTTGCATATTCAGCTTATAAGATCTCATAATGAGGCTATAGTCGTAGCAAGTGAAAATATTACAGAAATTGTGAAAGGTTCTATTTAAGATCAAACAATACACAGAACAAATAATATTATTAATACAACTTTATAAACTTAATCTGTCGTCTTTTGATTCTGTAAACATTAAGTTTGAAGCAACTGGTACAATCTTGCATGAAATGGCTAAAACACTCTGAAAAGGCCAAAAATTAAGATTCGAATACAAACAGGATGCAGCACAGGAAAAAGTGGAAACCGAAGTAGTAGGAATGTAGACTTACAGAAATTTATAATGCTACTCAGAGATCTCGGAAGCCAGAAGACATTTTTTACAAGACGACTTGTGGCTTTTCATCTAAAAAATGAAGATGTTTTAAATTGCCAGTCTGGAGATTCAAAAGCCAAATAAAGAAAAATCGGATAGACCTTTGCTTTGCGACGTATCTATGGTACAGTTCAGAAGAGGCAGTCGATTACTTTTTTATAAAAATAATAACGACGAAAATTTCAAAGAATATAATTTTCATAAAGCAAATATTAAACTAGAAATTCCTAGTAAATTACGCGATAATTATAGAGGTGTCCTACGAAAAAGAAACAAGGTATAATTTCGCAACTGTGCCATCTCATACCTGACGTCATTTTTAGCTTTCATTAAAAGAAGATGACTTAATCAATTTCGAATAGTTTTTTTAATATTATATAATTAATTTTTTTCTTTTTCTAATGTGAATTACATTTGATTTTTATTTGATTATACACTACCCCTTTATTCTGCATTTTTGTTGTATTTTTAAAACCGATATTTACATAAAGCTGACAATTCTACATTTCTATTTAAGAAAACAACTTTATTATTAGGGCAAACAGCAGAAACTGCTGAATTTTCAGCCAAAAAACAAGTAACACAATTGTTAGATTTGTCAAAAATTAAGACGTATTTTTTAACGTTTTTCTGCTTAAAATTAAAGAAAGAATAAATTGTGTGAAATAAAAAATATTAAATTTCAAATTACTTAAAACCATAATTTTTGCTCTTGCTGCTGTTTACCTAACCACAGCAGAACTAACGATAAAACGTAAGACATAATGTTATCTAATGTACCATTTAAAAGAAACCAAAATACATACTGTAAGCCTTTGCAATAGCTATATTAGCCAAAACGGCCACAAATGGCACTACTGCAATTCCACCACCCAAGTCTGCCAACATATCTGTATATTCAATCGTCTGATTGTCACGCTGAATAGTTAATGAAGGAAACCTAACTTCTGGAATTCCCTTGGGAACTGTTCCTGTAATTTTAAAAGGAGAGACTCCACTTTGATTACAATATACTGACACTATTGTGGCCAGTGTTACTGTGATGGCATTTTTCGATATGTACAATAACCACAGAAATTTCTTCAACGAAGGGTTTTTTGGTTGAATCACTGTGGTTATATACTAAAAAAATAATAACTAAGATTTTAAAGCCAATAAAAAGCCTTAATTAACTTACCTTAAACACAACAAGGAATCCAATGCAACCAAATCCCATTAAAGTATCAGACACTTTAATTTGGTCAATTTTTTGAACGAATTCTCTAAGTATCTGTAAAACATTATGGCTTTGTATACTTATTCCGAAAAGATTTTTCAACTGCGCTATTATAATAATTATCGTAGTAGCAGATGTGAATCCAGAAGTCAAACATGGAGATATAAAGTCCACTATAAATCCTAAAAATTATATTTTATAAATAAACACATATTTTGATTCAGCTAAAGAATTTTATTTAATACTATGTAAAACCTTGTAATTACTTAATATATATAATTACAGGTTTAGTAAAAAGCATGGTCATACCTAAATTTAAAAGTCCCATAAGCAGTTCCACACATCCAGCCAAAAATGTAAGTAAAACAACATACTCTACTGGTTTCCCGATCGTATACGATACGGTTAACAAAGACATCAAACTTGTTGGTCCTATGGAAACCTGAAAGGGAAATCAACTTGAATTTATAGTCTGGGGGTAGCGGGTAGAAACTTCTTTTCGGATAGTCCTATCAGAGAAAGTGAATCAATCTCTGCTCTTCGCAGATTTCAGGTGTTTCCTGACCAGGGAAACTAGTACCTGCTAAGGATCCCTTGACCAGGGTAACTGTTGAAGACCACAACGGCTTGGGAATCCAATGGCTGAGGTGGCCACCCAACCTTTAGGGGATGAAGTAAAAGGAATAAAGGGAAGACAGGTCTCTTTAAGCCGTAGAGAAGGCAACCGGTCAAGGAGCGGCACTCCGAAATCAAAGCTCCGGTCCTCCAGAATCGGGGTTGAGGCATCGGGATAACCCCTCGATACTTGTTAAAAACTTTAAAAGTTAAAACTTCCAGTAACAGGCTTCGGAAACGATTGAACAAACGAAGACGACTTAAGCTTAGAGAACGGACTATGAATATTGGTACTTGGACGGTTCAAGGGTTCACCAATAAACTCAACGACGTAATTTCGGAAGCCAATAAATTAAAAATGGATATTTTAGTACTTACCGAGACTAAAAAGAAAGATCAAAGTTCAGAAAATCTAGGAGAATATGACCACTTAATCTCAGGAATATAGAAATATAAAAAAGCCAAGCAAGGAATGGCCATACTTATAAGAAATAGACTTAGAAGGTGCATTGTTATGCACCTATGCACCTGTTATGCACTGGTAAGCAGTGAATTAGCGCATCATCAAACTTAACCTCACCCTGCATGGTAGTAAAGTCAGCATTCTTGGCATCTATGTAGTAATCGAGCATGCTTTATTAAAAGATAAAGAAGAGTTCTTTGAGCAACTATCTTACGAAATATCAAAAATAGGAACATCAAGAGAAATACTCCTATTAGGAGATCTAAATGCGAGAACAAACAAAAAAATTAAGGATAAAATAGTTGGTCAATTCGATGAAGATACTAGAAATGACAATGGAGATAGGCTTATCAACATATGTGAACAAAACAACCTGAGACTACTTAACGGCTTTTTCCAACACCCACCGAGATATCTATGTGATGGCTCGACAAAATACCCAACTCAATATACAAGCGTTATATTGAGAGATATTATACATAAGAGCGTTTAAAGGAAGCACATATGGAATCGACCACTATGAAGTAGTATGTAGTCAATTATATTGAGACTGATGACGACGTGGACGCCATTAAAGACATTTTCATACTTAATGAAGAAAAATTCATAGATCTGGATAGGTCACCCATTAAAAATGATTAAGTACTGGTGGAATATAAATTAAACAGCCATAATAGTAACTTCTACGTTGGACTTGTTATGAAAGAAAAAAATACGAGCCGAGATTTCGAGTGAAGTTTTCAGAAAAAAAAGGACATAACCTCTTTGTAGAGGCACCAGTTCCAGATGTATCAATAGTCGCTGAGATTTGCATTAAGATGATTTTGGAGAACCCGGTTTGTGCAGGATCAACCAACGCCAAAAATAATTTATTTCTTTCGGAATCGACTTCACTAATTTAAATGTTGGCTAACTACTAAATTCAACGTTTGAATTATTTTTCCTTTGATTTTATATAATTTTTTTTATTATTGGAATAAAACTATAGCATACCACTTTTATTGGGCATACTTTTAAAGCAATCTTATTGGTTTATTGTACAACTTGGTCTTTTTTATATATGTTACATTGTTCCCCTATGTATGTTACACCTCAGTGGTGGGGCACAATGAAACATTTTTTTAACTTAAATTTATTATTACTTAAAACAGCTAATAATTAGGTTTTTGATGCTACTGTAAGTCTGCTCCTGGTACCGAAGGGCATCTTTTAAAACACATTTCAAACTGATATATCTACATGCAAAAACAGGAAAAATAAAAAACAAATGTGTATTTGGTTGTGTCCCGTGCTACCCTATACGTTTCTCCAATCTCCTTAAGTTTTTATACCAATCAATTGTTTTCCTAGCTCTTCGTTGCTGCATGATTCTAAATGGCTTATTCTTCGAAGAGAATAGTAAAAATTAAAAAATAAGAACAGAAACGGGTCGAGGAAGAGAAATAGGAACAGGTAGACAACGTCAGAAAGTCATTTATCATGCGAAGAACACTCACTTCCTTAATAGTTCCAAAAATTATATACACATATGATCCCACAAACGCTGTATATAGTCCATACTCTGCTGGTTGTTCTGCTAGACCAGCATAAGCTATCGATTGGGGTATCATAGTCAAGCCAACCGTTAATCCAGCAATTAAATCTGCTAGAATATCATTTTTCGTGTACGTCGGCAGCCATCTAAAGATTGCCACTGATTTGAAAAGTTGAGCCTTAGATTTGGATATTATAGTTCGAAGTTTGGAATTCTCCTTGTTCTCTAAAAATAAATATATTGTTTATAAACTGCTATAATAATTATTTCATATTTAAATAACAATTTGCAGCTAATTAATATCTTTTACAAAACTACAAAATTACGCAGTTCGCTTCAATTGAATGAAATTTTATCTTTTCTGTCTTTGTAAAAACTATTCAGTATTGACAAAAATATTTGAGGTCAAGTTTTTTACAACATAGATTATACAAAATTTATCAAGTCAATATGTCGATTTAACGAAACAATATAATTATTAACATATGCGATGACACGATAGATAATTAAATAAAATTAATGGCAAGTGATAAGACTTTGGAATATATTAATTCATCAAATTGATCTCATAGGAATAATATTCATTTATATTCTTACAATTCAATTATTTCATATTTATGTAAAAACGTTATATATGTTGACACATTGCACCTTTCACTTTACATAGTTTCACCTAGTTTTACATATTGTCTCCTCATTGTTCTTGTCTTCTTTGTATATTGTTGGATCTATCATTTTTTATTATATATTATATAAACGTAGGTATTATAAATGATCGTAAAAAATGGGTAAACACCAAAGTACGCTTATCTAGTAGTAAATTAAAAAACTTGCGTGTTTTATCTAGATCCTGTCCGTGTCTTCGTGAATATTACAAGTTAGAAAAAAGAAACACCAGAAACTTTTATGTATGACAAAGAAAAATTATTACCAAGGAAGGAAAAATATATTCAATGTTTTCTTTAAAAATGCTCCAATTGAGGTACGTTCTAAAATTCCCAGTCATCAAAATAGTACTTTGAGGAAACCGCCTTATAATGAAAATAAATTTTTTTTACAATTATATCCTTACACTCCAAATGAGCTGAGTGAATTATTGATAGGAAAATTGAAATCTTCAAAATCGTGTTGATTTGATGAAATACCTCAGATTTTATTAAAAAAAGTAATTCCATTCATACTATCACCTTTAACATTTCTAATAAACTTGACTTTTTGCAATGGTATTTTCCCGGATTATCTAAAGGTGGGAAAAGTCGTTCCTGTACATAAGAAAGGTGATCCAAAGGATATTAGTAATTATCGCCCAATAACTGTCTCTTCAGTATTTTCGAAAATATTCGAATACTGTTATCTTAACCGATTAAACTCTTATTTATTGGAGAACGGTATTATTAGTAAATGTCAGCATGGCTTCCAGGCAGGTAAGTCTACAAACACAGCAGTTCATTCATTTTATGAGACTTTAACTCATGATCTCGTGATAACTCGTGATCTCAGTAGGGCATTTGACTGTGTCGATCATACCTTACTCATTAATAAATTAGAAAATATTGGAATAAAAGATCTCTCTCTAAAATGGATAGAATCCTACCTATCAGAACGTCGTCAGTATGTCTCCTTAACAGATTTATCCCAGCACTCAGAAAATATTTGCAAGTCAGATTATATTTACATTAATATGGGTGTTTCGCAAGGTTCTGTAATTGGCCCAATATTATTTCTTATTTACTTAAATGATATTGTCTCAATAAATTCTGCTGTACAGCTTACACTTTATGCAGATGATACTTCAATACTTATATCAGATAAATCACAAATATCTCTTGAAAATAAATGTAACGAACTTTTGTGTGATCTTAGTTATTGGTTTTCCTCAAATTACTTACATCTTAATGCGGATAAAACGCATGCTATTCACTTCCACAATAGACAGAAACATCTGTTAGATATCGAACTATCAATATATTCTACACAAATTGAAAAAGTTCAATGCCTAAAGTTTTTGGGTTTGTATGTTGATGAGTGTCTCAATTGGAAAATGTGATAATATTATTTCCAAAATAAACTCAGCATGCTACCTACTTCGAAACCTCAAAGATACGCTAAGTGAAAAACAGCTAATTATGCTCAGGTGGAGTCTCGTTTGCGGTATGGCATAGTATTTTGAGGTACGTCTTGTAAATTCAGTGAAGTCTTTCTATCTCAAAAAAGAATAGTCCGTTGTATTGCCGGTATTTCTCGAATAACTAGCTGTAAGAGTTATTTTACTAGATATAAACTTTTAACTGTGTTATAGATATAAACTTTTAACTGTACCGTGCTTATATATTTTTAAAGTCTGTGTTTTTATTCATTTAAATCTTGATAAATTTAAAACTAATAGTCAAATTCACAATAAAAATACAAGGCAGAATCAAAAATTGCATGTGCCTTTTTCTAAAGGAAATATGCATTTTTACTCACCTGCAATAATAGGTCAAAGAATATCTAATAAGTTACCCGAGCCAATAAAAAAATGTAAGAATATGAAAATATTTAAATTACCTTTAAAAGATTTTTTATTGCAGAATACGATTTATTCTGTTGATGAATATTTTAGTAGTTGACATTATTTTAAGTATATGCTAGTAATTTTACATTTTCTATTTGTGTTTGTAACCTTAGGTTTAGCGTAATTTTAGATTTACATTTATATTTAGTAATTTTGTTTTCTAAACTGTGACTGATCCTACACAAATTGTATTTGTCAAAAAGGAAATAAAGTATTATTATTATTATTATTTCAGTGTTTTTCTCTTGTTTGGATAAATTTTTAAATTACCATAGGTGATTTTCATGGGTTTCCCTGTTTTTTTCCCTTTTTCTTCATTTATTTTAGCCAGCGTTCAGGTTACCAATTCTTGTAATATTTTTTTTATCCCCTTGTTAGTTTTTAGTAATCTATGGGGCGGTTCAAGTATTACGTAGACACTATAGGGGGAGGAGAAGTCTTTGCTTCGCTTATTTTTGATAATATGGGGGCGGGAGTGTCTAGGTAGATGGTGATTACGTAGTTACAGCAGTAGTTATTTACTTTTTTACACACGTTGCAACCCATATATTGTCTATGTTTGAAAACAAAACGCATTTTTGGGAATTACCACAAATAACATATTCGTTTATATACTCGCTTAGAACCAAGTAGGGGAATTGCACTGGTCTAAATTCCTTCCGTCAATCAATTGTTTTGTTTTTTTATGATTGTTGATTTGACGTATTATTAACAAAGCAAAGCAAGTTAATGTTTGTGTTACCGTGGATCCAATTTCGCCAAAGTTGAATTATTTAATTAAGATGTCGTTTTAACTAAACAAATCTCATAGAAATACGAAAGTATAAAAGTCTTAGTATCCAGTTCACGATGGAGGTGGAAACTGATTCATCCCTACCGTTTCTCGACGTTATCATAAAGGAAAACCAATCCTAAGATTTTCATCACTCTGTTTATCTAAAACCCACCCATACCACTTGCCACACTACTTGCATGCCAAGTCTCATCATTTAACTTCACAAATTAATTCACTCATGAATACACTTATCTCCAGATCAACACGCCTTTGCGATGATACCAGAAGACTCACTGAACTCTCTAGCTTAAAACAAGTCATTATTCAAAACTGTTACTGCAAAAATCACATTAATAGCAGTGTCCACAGACATCAATCTCTTACTTAATCTCAACCCAAAGACTCAAACCCTAATCATACGAAAGCATTTCTTTCTTACATCAAAAGTGTCACTAACAAATTCGACAAAATTCTTAAATCAAGAGGAATAAAGACAATATTTACCCCCAACAAAACAAAACACCATCTTCATACAGGTCACAAAATTGATTTTAAAAACTCCAGAACCATAGCTCCCACAGAACCAAGAATTATCCAAAAAGCAATAGAAATTAAAAAAGGGCCAAATTGTCTCAATAAAAGAGATGTCGGCATAGGGTTAAATTCGGCATGGAGACCTTTCATACAGAATATATCATCTGCTTCACCCGCCAATCAAAATCCTACTGTCAGAAATGTTCGCAACAACCCACGCGCCAATCACCACGGTAACCCCCATGCTAACTTCCAGCCAAACCACGTCATCATCGACGGTATAAATGAACCGTCCTTTGTTCTTAGTGGCAGCAATGCATTGGTTAGTAATCAGTGTAGTAGTATCTGGGGGCTCGGGAAACTGAGACCTCGGAAGCCCTGAAGAAGATATCAAAGAGGATGTCGAAAGCTCTACGCAATGCTAATCGACGCGGTTCAACCTGGAAGACTCTTGAATTTAATATTAATTCTTGTAATAGAATTAATATTAGCTCTAGGTGGTTTATAATATCAGCAAATCGATTAGTAGAAAATAAAACTCTATTTGTCTCAATATTTCGTCACGATTTTGGGACTTCAGCTTTGTCCTGAAAACAAACTTCTATTTCTCTACTAAAGAGAATGTAATTTAAAATTGATCACTTGCATCTAGTCTATCAGGGTTCAATTGAAGTCAATATGGTTTATCAGTCTGATGGCATAGAGCTAATCTCTCGATATGAACTACCCTGGCTTTATTTCTAGCCGAAAACTAGATGCGGTAGGTTATGTCATGTTTTCTGCGGGATGGTTTACTGGCCTTCCTATATAATTTCTGTATTTTCTTTATCAGACAGCCCCCTAATACGGGCTTTTATAAGTTCAACATTTAGTTTACCATGTACCTTAAGACCTAAAGATGCATAGCAGCTTTTTTACCTATTTAAACATAATTATTATATCATCGAGATACACTAGACATAATTTTCATTTAAGTCTTATTAAAACCGTTTCCATCACATTCAAACGTAACTGGAGCATCACAAAGACCAAATGGTAAAAATGTTCATAACAAAAAATGTTCAGTACGATTCACTTTGAGATGGTAAAACGCACAACTTCACCAGTACTGGATGCAGTCTTCATAGTTAGTGAACGGATAACGCCGTCCTTGCCAGGATGAGCCTCGATGATGCGTCCAAGTTTTCATCTCAAATCTACTCTAACCAATATCAAAGTTCCTATCCCCATGTGCTGTTGAAAGTTCTCCTTTCACTTCAGTGGTTGTTGTAAAGTGGAGATATACTCTTTGGACCACTTGGTCCAAAAATGTCCGCGTAGTTGCTGAATTCGTTCATAACGCGAAAGTCTATTTTCTTTTAT